TATGAGTTTCAATTTCCACCGGCTTCTTCGTCGATGATACTGTGACTTTTTTTACTCTACTCTTCGTTCGCTGCCCTATGCTGTTTTTGTTTGTTATTGCTTAATAGTCTGGCTATTTATAGGCGCAAGCAACAACTACAATTAACATATAAGACAATGTTAAAATAACAATAATCAGCTGCAGCAATACTTTGTTCTTGTGTTGAAAATTTTTATTTAAATTTATTTTTACTCTACGCGTTGCCAGTTTAGTTACACTTTTTTATCGAAATATAATTAGTATAATTTACTTTTGCCAATTTCGGCATAATTCGTGTGCACGAATGGAAAAGTAATGATTTTTTAATTAAAAAAAAAATATGTTTGCTTTTATGTTAGTGAATATGTGTGTGTTTATTTGCGAATTTCTATTTACAGACGCCACATCAAGGCTGAAGATAGTTTTAGCCAAAAGCGTTGTGTAGATTGGTTTTGTAAATACACAAATCCCGATGAGCCGGATACGCTAGGTAATTTGCTGCAAAATTATTATATTCTATGCATACGAAAATAAAGCATACCTCACGTTGATTCTGTACTACAGGTCCCGATGGTATGGAGAAATTCTGCGATGATATTGGTGTTGAGCCGGAAAATGTTGTGATGCTTGTGCTAGCCTACAAAATGGGCGCCACACAAATGGGCTTCTTCAGTCGTTGTGAATGGTTAAAGGGCCTCACCGAATTGGAATGTGATTCTGCTGCAAAAATGCAATCTAAATTAGATTATTTAAAAAGTATACTCAACGATCCAAATGTCTTCAAAAGCATATACAGATATGCCTACGATTTTGCCAAGGTACTTACATATACATGTACAATTGAATTCAACAGAAAAAATTCACGTGGAAAAGCTTGAGAAGTAAAAACTCTCACTCTAGGTAGAAAAAGGCAATGTTCTTAGTTCCACCTGTGTAACTATTCAAAAAAATCAACGGGATTTTCAGCCGTTTGAAACTTGCACTTCATTAGACTAAAATTGACCCGCATACTCGAAAAGTTTCAAGAAATTCGTCTAGTGTATATTTTATAATAGAGCATATTTCCACAAGCTAAAATCCGTATGTATTTACAGGATTCTGATCAGCGCAGCATGGATATAAACACAGCTAAAGCAATGCTACAGTTACTACTCGGCAAGCATTGGCCGCTGTATCCACATTTCGCGCAATTCCTCGATCAATCAAAGTACAAAGTTATTAACAAAGACCAATGGTGCAACATACTTGAATTCTCGCGCACAATCAACAACGATTTAACGAATTACGATATCGATGGAGCATGTGAGTTCTATAGTCAATACATACATATCATTTTACATAGTGCATATTTATTATATTGTAATACTTAAAAAAATATTTGTAAATTTATTTTCACTTAGGGCCTGTTATGTTGGATGAATTTGTGGAATGGTTACGACTGCAACGCACATGTACGAGTACTACAACATTAAGCTGAAATTATATCTAAAATACCAAATTTATGATATTAACAAAAACAATGTCGAGATCAATAACACAACTACATAAAAAAAGATCAACTAAAACAACTACGTGAAACTCAAGTACCACAAATAAACAAAATCAGCATATTCCAAAGCAAAACAGTAAACAACTTTAAAGCTTGTAACAACAACAAATACTATAAGAGGTATAAATCAGTCAACCAATTACCCGTAGCAACAAATACAAGCGAAGTTAAAAACAATAATTCACACAGAAAACAACAAAAAGCAGCGTAATAAATGAATACATTTAACGTATTACTATAATAATAACAAAACAGCAACAAAATCAGAAGAACTACTACTACGATAAATAGTAATTATATAATTTGCTTCTCGATAATATAAATCTTAATGGCTACAAATAGATTACCATTGCCATTAATAATGAGAGGAAGAACAGTTGAAATAAGTGACAACAGGACGTATACAAACTACAATAAATACTTGCATGCATTGGGTAACAGGCTTATTTACCGCATCATACTATCACTAAAATAAGCATTGCCGAACAACTATCTTGTAAGATTGTGGGTGTGCAGGTGAAGCAGCTACCTTGGCAGCATTGCAAAAATATGACACACAGCCCTATTATCACAAAACAAAAATTGAGAGTAAACGAAAGCATATAGTCATATTTGGAACATTTAGTATTTAGAAAAGGTAAAAATAAAACATAATTATAATAATGAAGGTGATGAAGACAATGAAGGAAAGCATGTTTAATATCAGTTGAATATACTGATAGTGTGAGACTGTGGAAGAGCGAAAATAAATCGCGTCAACTTTGATAATTAATGTTAAAAAAAATAAGAAAATCTGAGATACATATAAAACATATTCAAAATTAAAAACATAATAATAAAAATAAAAACTAAGAATTATGCGTTTAAGTTCTAAATAATTAATACATAGTTCTTGATTTATTTAGGAAGAATTGGAGTCTTATTCTAAAGTAACGCAATCTCGAGGAAGATAATTTCAAAATCTATAATCAGTCGTTTTATAATCGTTTACATATACTCGCATATATATATACTTTACAAGGACTCACCTCCAGGTACTCCTCCTGCAGGGAACGAATGGTCATATTCCGCATTGGATGGCACCAGTGCTCACGCTCGCATCAGACTGCCTGCTCCATAGTATAGTAGTCGCGATTTACCACCGAAGAGATTTTGTTACATCCGAAAACCGTACATACATGAAAGCTAACTGGGACGATTTTACGGAACGCACAGGCCGAACAGACCGCAAATTTAACGCTCTTCCACCGCCAACATGCGCGCGCGTTGCTGAGCGCCACATCCACAGGATCATCAACGTAGCAGTCGCCCGCGTCATACCAGCCGGCAGTATCGCTATAAACGGCCCGGGCTTCCCTGCAGAATCCGCGGGACTCGCAATCGCGCGTAAGCGAATCCGCCAGTTTAATCCTGGTGATCCTTGCTTCAGGGATCTCACCAAGGACATTCGTAAACGAACATAAGCGGAAAATGTGGAATGAGCACCTCAAAACCTGCAATCTCTCCAGCGGATCTAGCAAACTGTGGACGGCAGGCAAATTTCTCTCCCATCCGACGAAACGTAAGCACAACGTTGCTCTTACATTGGACAATACCACAACGTCGGATCCGCGGACGTGCTCGGCATTTTTTTGCACACAGGTAGCTGGCAAGAGTGCAAAAGAATCCATGGCGTTAGGCCCTGATGGAATCCCCATTCAGATGCTGGAAAGGCTAGGAGCTGCGTGAGTCGAGTACATCACAGCAGCTTTCAAATTTTCACTGTCCACCCTGATCATCCCCGAGATGTTGAAAACGGGTAGGATCATTCCTCTTCTTAAGCCAGGGAAGAAGGCGGACGCAGGAGACTGACCGGCCAATCTCCCTCCTACCCCCAGTGTCAAAGACAATGGAAGCACTACTCTCCTTCAAGGTGCACCCTAGCACAACTCCGGTCAGGGTGGTGCCACAGACTCAGGCTTGTAGAGTCTGAGGATGAAGACGACACATGACGAAAACCCGGGGGTTTGAGCAACAACAGCATAGAGACTCCTGATAGTTGAGGGGTTTCGAGATATAATAACAGCAGCGGGGAAAGGGCCCACCCTGTTGGACCCCTGTTTAACATTTTCTTTAATGTATAGAGTCAGATACAATCAGAACTAAGCGGAATATATTTATAAAAAAAAGCCTATAACGAAGGAGCAATTACATACCTACATTCTAAAAAAAATTTGTTCATGGTTCAGAACGTTGTACTATGTTGTTGTTGTAGCGGCGATTCGGTGTGGTTATTTTGCTTTATGGAAACGCACCCTTTACAAAATCATGTATACCCTGCAATCAGTGTTGCCGGATAAATCAGTTTTTCTACCGAATTGGCCGCGAGAATTATTCCAAAGTTTAATTGTTTTGCAAAAAGGCCGATTTTCAAAGAAAAATCACATTTTAAAATTCTACTTCAAGGACGGCACGGTTAAAAAACTCAGAAAACGGCGTTATAAACAATTCCATTAATTTCGATGAAAATTAATTGTATCGCATTGGCATTTTGCCCCAAGAATAGGAGAGCTTCATAAAATCAAGCAAAAACAAGATTGACAAAATCTTAATCATCCTGGAAGCCTTCTCTCATTGCACTAAGATTCTTCCGATGGCAAATCCTTTAAATATAAACTCTTAGGGAAAATAATTCTGCCTGAGATTTTGAACTTAAATATAACAATATTTTGGAGCTTACACTTAAATTTAGAAGCGTCTTCTTCCGACAAACATACGTATTTAGACATTGGGCTATAATGTGCTCGGTGCGACTGGATGAGAACTCTTTTTGATGACGCACTACCACCTAGAAAAAATTGATTACGCCCTCTGCTGACAAAGGTTATTTAGGTCAATTAAAAAACCGATCGAAACTGGTTAGAAGAAAAAGTGTTGTACTTCGCAAAAATTAAGAGCGCTTGGTTGGAATGTTTTGAGGCATCTACAATACTACATAGAACTTGTTCCATTTGTTTTATATCTGTCCCGGTCTCTGTGGAACTCCCTTAATGTTGCTAAACAGTTTTCCTTCCAGAAGTCAGCGAAGTTTGTCGGAGTGAGGCATTATGATCTTGCCTTAAAAATTCCACAAGCTTCTTTGAAATCAAGTTTATTTAAACGTTTTCTTGATCTGAATCCCACTCAATGATGGTGTCAATAGATTAAATGAACTTTTATATATATATTAATGGTTTGACATTATTCCACTTATACTTGTCGTTTCTTTGAAATTAATGAAGTCAAACAATCCTCTGGCAAAATCTGCAAAATGGAAAACGAATCTACCAACCTATCAAAATTTAGAAAAATACCTTTCCAAATTTGATAAAATAGTAGTAATACGGCAACACTACCTGAATTTTAGTAATTCACAATAGTTAGACAACAAAAGAACTTCGAAAATTTTCGAAAAAAGGTCAAGCGACATTTGCACAATCGTTTGGCTTCCATTAGCAAGAGTGAGGCAGCTATATTCAACAACGGGCGCAAAATTCATTCGAAGGAAGGAATTTTGAAATTTCTGTCACAAACGGTTTTCATTATCCTCCACGACGATCATATTTTTCTAAGCACACTTTCGTCGCTTGGGTTGATCGTGCGTTCGTTGGATTGTTGCAGTTTTTGTCTTTTCATTAATTGTTGATTTTTTTGTTAAACGTAAACGTTGATTGCATAGCATTTAATCGACGAGTAAGCGGCAAGGACGGACGCGCGATATCCTTGTATATATATTACGGCTGGCTAGTTTTCTTCTGGCGTGTATTTTACATATTTACTGCGTGCAATCTACGCTTTGGTAAATCAACGACGAAAGGTAGCGGATTTTGGTTAGGTACGGTGCATCAGTGCAGTAAACGTGCCTACAAGTGTGTGTGTGTAACCAGCTAAAACTAAGCTCAAGATGGCCCAAAAGACTGACGATAAAACTTCCGACATACCAGAGCGACTCTATGATGCAACCACACGGTCCACTTATAAGCGGATGCGATTCTTCGGAAAAGTAAGTAGGTTTGACAAAAGTGGCACTTCAAAGAGCACTTTGCGAAAATTAAAAAAAAAAAAATGCCTGCGCAGAGCATATAAAATTATATTTAGGGATATTTGTACAACGTTTACTTATTTGCGATTCGCTAGCTTTCCCTATCCCCTAGTTTCTTAACGCAGATGATTTCCTTGATCTTCGCTCCGTTCTTTTACTCTACTAGTTTACAGGATTTAGTCGGAAGTCGGACCTACATTTACAATATCTTGCGGGCTAGATCTGACTAAATCCTATATACCGGACTAGTAAATGGACAGACTAACTAGTTATTTACTCTAACAGGGTGGCTTTGCAAAATGCTACGAGATTGTCGATGTGGAAACCAACAATGTATACGCAGGAAAAATCGTGTCAAAAAAGTTGATGATGAAGCATAATCAGAAAGAAAAAATGTCACAGGAAATCACAATACACAAAAGTCTCAGTCATGAAAATATTGTTAAGTTCCATAGTTTCTTTGAGGATAGCTATAACATTTATATTGTTTTGGAATTGTGCAAAAAGCGGGTGAGTAGATTTGATTAAATATGCAATATCTAAATTAAATGGATATTTACTAATTTTTCCCACTTAGTCAATGATGGAGCTGCAGAAGCGTCGTAAAACAATAACGGAGTACGAATGTCGTTATTACATCTATCAAATTATACAGGGTGTGAAATATTTGCATGATCATCGCATCATACATCGCGATCTCAAATTAGGCAACCTCTTTTTGGATGATCTGTTGCATGTAAAAATCGGCGATTTTGGTCTTGCAACGCGAGTAGAGTACGAAGGTGAACGCAAAAAGACACTTTGTGGCACACCCAATTATATTGCGCCTGAGATCCTCAACAAAAAAGGCCATTCATTCGAGGTGGACATTTGGTCAATAGGTTGTGTTATGTATACGCTACTGGTTGGCCAACCTCCGTTTGAGACAAAAACATTAAAGGATACATATGAGAAAATCAAAAAGTGCCAATATAGGTAAGTGATTTCTCGTCATCCATTCAGAACATATGCAAATATAAGTAAGTAAATACCAATGAAGCTACTGTTTATTTATAATACTTAGGGTTCCAAGCTATCTGCGCAAGTCCGCCGCAGATATGATTGTCGCTATGTTACAATCCAACCCAGATCTGCGCCCAACTATTGGCAAACTACTGTCGTTTGAATTCCTTAGCTGTTCGCCAGTGCCAATGTTCTTGCCTAGCTCTTGCTTGACCATGGCACCACGACTAGAAATGAATGAGGCTTTGACCACAGATGCTATGGGAAATCGCAAACCTTTGCTGGAATTGAACGGAATCAAGGATGATACACGGTTGGAGCATACATTCCTTAAAAATAATCTACACGATGCAATCACTGCTTCTGCACAAGTTTTCCGACACAATGAGGACTATCGTGCGGATATTGAAAGCCTTCACCAACAATTAACAGAGCTCATTAATGCTAAGGTAAGATCTTGAACGTGAGCTTCACTACTTTCAAATGTAATTTATTTATATGACTGCAATAAATTACAATTTATTGCTACATTTTTGACATGTGTAGCCAAAACTGCTGCCGCGCAATTTGGGAGATGAAAATACTGATCCAGCAGCGCAACCACTATTCTGGGTATCAAAATGGGTGGATTATAGTGACAAATACGGTTTCGGCTATCAGTTGTGTGACGAGGGTATGGGCGTTATGTTTAATGATACCACAAAGCTTATACTACTGCCCAATCAAATGTAAGTTTTCAACGAACTACATATTTATTTGTGCGCAATTTGAATTCCTTTGCTTGCAGCAATGTGCATTTCATCGACAAAGATGGCAAGGAAACGTACATGACCACAACTGACTACTGTAAGACGTTAGACAAGAAAATGAAGTTGCTTACCTATTTTAAACGGTACATGACCGAACATCTTGTCAAAGCCGGAGCGAATAATGTAAATTTTGAAAGCGATCAGATCTCTCGTATGCCGCATTTGCACTCATGGTTTCGCACAACATGCGCGGTGGTCATGCATTTGACCAATGGCTCTCTACAGGTAAAGAGTTGTAAAGAATAACTAAATTTTGCTTTTAATAATATAAAGCATTTCAAAATGCTATTAAAATTCTTTATAGTAGCAGTTGATATTCTTTTGATACTATTATATGTATACACTAAGGTTTTTTTTTATGCGGTACATGCGTTCCTCACAAAGCCGCATAAAAAAATCCGCACAAAAAAGTTCTTTAATTTCATATAAAAACAGGGGATGCGTTCCAGTATTTTCAAAAACCGCGAAAACTCAGATACTCCATGTAATAAATTCTAAAAAAAACGCATAAAAAATCCAGGGGCAATGTTAAGCAAAAAAAAAAACAATATTTATTACTTCACTTCAAAACTTATTCGTCCATGTAAAACTGAACATTAATAAAATAAATAAAATTGTATCTGTATTTTATCCAAAAAAAAAACACCATAAAAAATACATGAATTATATTAGAATGCAAAGACAAATTATTTATCAGAAGCATTGCCTCTTACAAAAAAGTAATAAAAACTGTAAAAAAAATTCAAATCCGCATAAAAAAAGACCTCTGTGTATTTAGTCTACAGAAATATGTATTCATACTATTATATAATTTTGAACAAAGCTCCAATTACATGACTTATATAGGTTGTTCACACTTGCTTGGTTATCAGGTTATATGGTTAAAAATTATTATTCTGTAGCGTATTTTATTGTTGTAAGCTGAATAAAAAAATAACCATATAAGCAGATAACCTGATAACCAGGCAAGTGTAAACAACCTCATAGATGTTAAAAGGTTTAAGCTTAAAATTAGAATTGTTATCACTATTACCGATAATTATATTTTGTTTGGCATGAAGTAAATTAATTTACCACAAATTGGAAAAATATCAATCATCCTAATGTCATAACTATTAATTGTATCTAATTATTTAATATATCATATACGTCAATATTGCACTATTCTTATATTTCAGCTAAATTTTTCCGATCATATGAAGATTATTTTGTGTCCACGCATGAGCGCCATCACATACATGGACCACGAAAAGAATTTCCGTACTTATCGATTCTCAACTATCAAGCAACATGGCTGTTCTAAGGATCTTTACCAAAAAATTCGTTATGCACACGAGAAACTTAGTAAAATGTTGGAGAAAATGTTATTTTAGTTCGAAATCATTCAATTTTCAGTAGAAGCAGCTAGCTTAAGATTCGCTTTTTGCGTTAATTTGGCCATTCTAATGTATAATGTGTTAAAGTTTCTACTAGCGCTCTTAGCCATGCACCAACCAATCAAATGATTTACTGTCCCGTGAAAAAACAAATATTTTCTATAAAATGTTTGTTTTTTTATAATTAGTTTTATTTTGTATGATCGTATTTTCTTCTTTTGTTAATTTTTTGTTCATTATATTTAGCACTTATTTCATTACATCCATGGCACATTCCATTCATGCAATACATGGCGCTTGTCGCCATCATAAAAGAAAAGGCGACACATTCACCAGCACGAATTAGGAGCGGGTTTTTTAACTCTGCCTCCTCATAGCCAGGCTTGCTGCATACATTAAAATACAAACATACATACATAACTATATCGATAAATAACGGAAACAACGTTTAAATTTAGGTTTTAATAAATTTTAGTTTGTGTTTTTAATGTCATTAATAAAAATACAAAATTATATTATTAAATTAAAATAAATGGCCGGAGTTTAAAATGTTTGAACAACGAGTTTTTGGAAACAAATTGAGGTTGTTCACAATGGTTCACACTTGCCTGGTTATCAGGTTATCTGGTTAAAAATTATTATTGTGTAGTGTATTTTATTGTTGTAAACTGAATGAAAAATATAACCACATAACCTGATAACCAGGCAAGCAACAACCTCATTGTATTTAAATGCTAAATGTGGACCACTAAAAATTGCTAGTAGCCTATTTAATATCCAACAAGATCGGCGGAAGTTTAGGTTTGTATTTCGATATCTTTGAAAATTAGCGCCAAATGACTGCTTCCCAAGCCATTTGTCACATCCGTTTGTCAGTGGCTTGTTTGCTTGCTTGAAAGCATTCGTAAATATTTACGAATTCTACAGCAAAGCAAGTGAAGATTAATGGTGTGTTCGAGCAATGCAATAGTTACCGCAATGTTGCAACCTTTCTGCATTCTGTTCAACTGGAAACCCCACAGAAAAAAATTTTAATTGCATTTGATTTGCAAGTGATGAGCGACGGATTGTTAAATTTTCGTTCCTCGAAGGCGTGCTGGAGGCAGAGCGGCCCAAATTTTCACGTAGAACGTGATGCTGTCATAAAAAACACTGGCGCATTTATTGCAGCTCGAACACCCTAATTGACAGATGACTTGCCATATGGCGACATCTAAGAGCGCGGTTACCCACGAACGTGTACGTAGCGTAGCGTAGGAATACGTGGAATGATATCAAGTGTGCTGTTGATAGAAAGAGAGATAAGCAGCGTCTACGTCATGGTCTACGTCACGGGGGCGGTACGCGGTGGTGAGTTTTTATTAACACGCAGATCCAAGGCGCCTTGCGCAGATCTCATAAGATAGATCGTGTCAGCTGACATGTTCTCGGTTTTTACGACCGCTTTTACGCTTTAACATTGGAAAATTTACTTGAAGACTGTTTAATTAAAAGCCTTTTATTCAGAAAAACAGGTTAATTCACAAGGAATATATTACATTCAGCATTTGACTACGTTGGCATAGTTGCTAAAAATGCTCCAGCGCGAATCGGTTAGACACAGTTAAGAAGAAAAAGGTGAAGAGAAAAGGGACGAGTACACATGCGTCTGCACCGTCAAGTCGTTTCAACTTTCTTGCTTTGCTTTTGGCATTTTCGTGGCTTCCCATTTAAAGAACCAAAAACTTGAATTCAACAGAATTGAAACGTATAAAAGCAAATAGAAAACACAAAAGATAATGAGCAAGAATTGCTTTCAAGTACTTGAATCATGTAAATCGGGTGTTAGGGACATTTAGGAATGTCGAAAAAACATCGATGCAGCGAAAATATCGATGTTTTGCCTCGATGCATCGAAAATTTACCACTCGATGTATAAATAGTCGATACAACATTTTATGAGCTGTTAAACTGCATACTAAAAATGTTCCAAACACTCAGATTAAAATGTTAAAAATATTGATGAACATTTGTTGAATTTTTCTAAATTTTATATAAAGTTTGAAACGATGTTACATGGTTTTGGCTAAATCATGAGCACTATTTATATAAAAAATAACAAAAATGTTAACGTACACGTAAAATGTTAAAAACGTAATGAATAATTAAATAAAAAAAAATCAACACGTGAACACTTGTTTCAGTCGCTACTACCAAGGTGTATTTTTATAATAATTTGTTACACTCCGGCTCACACCTCATCAATCAACTGGATGAAAGAATTTCTGGTTTTGTTTCTACAATCAATTTTTTTTATAACCTGGCGTCGTAAGAATCAGTTTGTGGTTCAAGCCATATTTTGGGCTATTAAATAGCTGTTTAATCCAAAAAAAGGTGTATTATTGTTGAATACATTTTGGCTACTACTCTATACTCATAATCAGAATAAAAGTGTGTTAAATTGCATGGTGTTATTATTCCACCATGGTTAAATTGTTTGAAATTGCTTTTGTTTTATCTCCATAGTGGAGGAAAACTCCATGCGTATCGATGTACGCGGTCCGATGCATCGACAAATATCGATGTAAGTTTCGAGGCATCGACTTGGGAAAAAGATCGATGTATTTTTGCCATTGACATGCCTAAGGACATTTATGCACTCGGCTGAACCGGTTTGGGACTTATTCCTTTTTCTTTTAATCGAATATTCGCAAATTTTACAAAACGAAACGTGATAAAAATAGCAAACGAAAGAAAGTCGAAAAAGAAGAAAATTAATTTTTTTGGAAAAGATTTTTTTTTTTAAACCTCGGAACAGGAAATTTTCCCACGACATACTTTCAGACTATTAGCTGCGTCGAGATGGTAAGTGAGGTCCAAGAGTATAAACAGTACAACATTCATTGTAGGTACTCGCAAAGAATCAATTCAAGGGGGAGGAAGGCAGCAACTGCGAGAAATTTGCACTGACATCCAATGGAATTTGTTTGCCTTCACTATTTTGTGCAAATAAAATAACAATGAGGTCCTGATTCTTATCAAACAGCTTCAGGAATAGAAGCAGTTTGGTGCCGTTGGGATCTTGGGGACTTTAATGACTAAATATTTTTTTAATTCGATCTTAAAGCAATTGTTTTTGTCTTCGATGTGATTGATTTGTGGTCCGTAAGAAGCCCCAAATGTTGGGCCGAATGTTAAATAACAGGTATGCACTATGCACTTCTGACAAACGAATGAGACAATTGTTCTTTGAGTTAGTGTGCAAAAAAAAAGAAATTTAGTTGGTCAGAAAATCTTAATGAAATATTACATTAAATTATAATAGTTCTAATAAAGAGTATAGCATAGAAATTCTTTTAAAACCTTTGTTTCTAGAATAAATTGAAGTCTACACAGAAAGATAAGGTGAAAAGATTCATTTCGCTTACGCAGACTGGCGAACAAACGGCTATATACTGCCTGCAACAGAATGACTGGAAGTTGGAATTAGCGAGCGATAACTACTTTCAGAATCCAGAATACTATTATCGTGAGCTAGATCGTAAACGAATTGAACAGCTCTTCCTGCGTTACCGAGATCCATGCGAACCACAAAAGATAACGGCCGATGGAGTTATACGTTTTCTGGAAGATCTCGCCTTAAGTCCAGATTCAAAGTTGGTCTTGATTATTGCATGGAAATTCCGCGCTGAAGTGCAATGCGAATTCAAACATGATGAATTCGTGAATGGCATGGGAGATCTGGGTGTGGATAGTGTCGATAAGCTGAAAGCGAAATTGCCTCAGTTAGAAATGGAGTTAAATGATCCAGCCAAGTTTAAGGACTTTTATCAATTTACTTTCAATTATGCGAAGGATCCGGGTCAGAAAGGAATCGATTTAAATATGGCCATTGTATATTGGAAAATCGTTCTCAGCAGTCGATTTAAATTCTTGGATTTATGGTGTAGGTTTTTGGAGGTAAGTGAAATATTATTGTACATATATTATGTGTATGGTTTTCTTAAACATTTTTTTTTTGTTTACTTAAACCGTAGGAAAAACATAAGCGTTCGATACCCAAAGACACTTGGAATTTGCTATTGGATTTTGCTACTCACATTGATGACAATATGAGTAACTACGATTCAGAGGGAGCATGGCCAGTGCTTATTGATGATTTTGTCGAATGGTGTCACGAAAATCATCTAATGGCTACCCAGCAGCATCCTCAGCAACAACATCATCAGCTACTCGCTAACTATCAGCCTCAACTACAGACTATGCCAGCGCAGCAGCAACAACAGCAGCGCAATATATCGAGCAGTTACCAGCCGACCTCGCATAGTACAAACATTAATTATGGCTAACGTTTATTTAATATCCTAATTATTTTAATAATAAATTTGCTTTTATTCTTATTATTATAAATAATTATAGCATAAACTTTGAATTAGTGAGCGCTTCTTTCAACCTACAAAACCGGCAATCTACAGATTGATATACACGAAAATTCATACATTCAAACCGCAACTTTTTCGGACCTAAATATCGAATCTCGGCCAGTGCAGATCAGAGCGTATACTCGAAAATTAAACTTAAAACCAAATTAAATAATGTTATAAAACTGTTGACTGTAGAATATGTTTTTAGTTTATATAACATACGAAAGTATAATTTGTTTGAGTGTGAAATACAAAATGAAAATCCTTTCCGACCTAAAACAAAACATAATACATATTAAACTAATATTAACATAAAATTTATGGAAATATAAAAATGGAAAAAATAATATTAAAAATTGAAGCGTAAATTAACGAGAAACTGTAAAGATGAAAATAATAAACTTCTTTAATATATAAAAACTAAGGATGCTATAAAATCAATAAACGCGTTTTAGGCAAAGAAAGGTATATATGTATTGTTTTGAACGTTGATAATATATAGCTGACGATATTTTTATTGGCAGCCCATTTTCTTGAAAGTTTTCTCTATATAATATGCGTACTTGATATATGTCTACTTAAAATTTTTGTATCATCACTATTGGAAGCTTAAAGATACGACAACCACCCTGTACTTCCGGTAGTGCATCCAAAGATTCCCGGTAGTGCATTCCAATGATTTCCGGTAGTGCATTCCAGAAAAATTCCAGCAATTTTTGACATTTTGTTTTGTTTTACTTTTCGTAGTTTTCTGACTTTTGACGTTTCCACTTTTCTCTCTGTATAACGAATTTCGTTCGCGAACGCTGCAAAAAGTCCATCGACGTCGAGTGAAGTGGAAGAATTTTCGGATGCAAATTTTTGCCATAAATTTTTGCTAAATTTTGGAAAAAATGTGCAGAAAGTGAGCAATGAAGGTCCAACAACAGATGTGTGTGCGAAAAGTGCGATTTTGCAAAGTGAATGCGTTGAAAAAGCGAAGTGAAAAAGTGGCTAAAGAAAATTTTCTACATCAGCAGTGACCAGTCAACCAACAATAGTAACAACCACTAATCATAGCAGTTAAACAACAAAAGAAACAATAGCTGCTTCAATACATACCCAGACAAGACCTACACCAAGCAGAGAAATCGGATGGAACACTCTAATTGGTCAAAAAGAGTGTGAAGGTGAGATTAACAAAACATATCAGATCTACAACTAAACCAACCCAGTCTATCGGCTTTAAAGACGATGTCTAGAAAAAGTAAGATCAAAGCAACTTAATTACAAGAAATACTGTAAAGCTCTTGGAGGATGTGACATAGGCGTTTTTAACAGTAATATGTATTTACGGATAGGACTTCTTTATGTATGTACACACACATATATCTACTATACACAAAACAAATGTGGGTGGTAGGAAAAGAACTGTGGGCGCCATTACTCGCTTGTCGAAAAGGTCGCCGACGGACGGTCGGTGGCCACGGCCTTCATTGATCTCCTTGCATGAGGGCGACCTTGGATCTCATTGTCCACACATACAAAACTATTGCAAGAAAACACAAAACGCCTTTCCGCATGTTTTACTGGATAGGCCCAAGAAAGTGTGCATTTCACTGCCACCAAAAGTGTTTGCAAATCGAGTATCCTTCTTTTTTTTTTGTTTATTATTGAATCATGGATATTCATATTCCTCATTTACTAAAGGACCCATACCCAAAAAACGCGATTTTTTAAGAGACGCGCTTAAAATTTTCAGTGTACTACATTTATAAATATGCATATGGCAATAAAAGAGCAACAACAAAAAAATTAAATAGGTACCTAGTAGAATATGTTAAACATGAAGCAGCCGAAAACTGAATTAAAATAAGAGTATCAGCGTGCATGATGGACAAAGGCCATGAAAAAATTAAATGTAGCTATTCGCTCTATGCATGTATAGAATGATATAAAAACCATAGAAGAAAAAGATATGACAAATTACCCAATGGCTATTATCCATTTTATTTCTCAAATGAAAATTATAGCGTGAATGACGATGGCAAAGTCGCCAACACGTATGAATGTAATTACATACATGCGTATGTGAAATGGTAGTATCGTTGCACCGTGATCTGAACTTGTACAAAATTGCAATAAAATTCCCGAAGCGATTACATTTTGCCTAAAATGCAGAACGTTTTGGTTGACGAACAATAATTCAATAAAAACTTATTTTTAGTAGATTTGATTCAGAAGAAATATGTTGCTGAAACCGAACCAGCGACCACCTTGTCTCTATGTTGTTGTTGTTGTTCTTGTAACAGCATACATATACCCCAAAGAATTTTTGGGGAGTGTTGCTGGATATAAATATTGGTCGTTTCTGTTACGTAGCCCCGACTGTCGTGGGAACGATCGTCTCTCTTGGCAGTTCCGCTTCGTTAGTGTTAATGGCCGGCGGTTGACCGCCGCGGACGATGTTGTCGTTTTCGGTGCTCATACTAACTGCATGGGTGTGTAGGTTGTTCCGCGCCGCTAGGTATTTTTCTGCGTCGAATACTACATCCATATATAGCATGTTAGCGAACCCAGGTCCTGCGGAGTTCTAGTACGCATCTCTAACCACTCAGCCACAGCGGCCGCCTGTAAGTATACGTATTGTATTAATATGTATGTACGTAGTAGTAAGAAATGAATGCATAATACACGAAAACTTTTTTGTCATATCATTAGATCTGTACCGATCGTTCGATTTTACAAAGGCTGCATTTCTTTATTCATTCTGAACGTTTGGAATAAATTTTTTTGTTTACTTATTCTTTAGAACGTTCCTGATGATATGTTAACGTATATTTCAAACGCATTCTGTTTAATCCGGCTGTGAAATGGGATTATCCGGAATGTATAAAGAAACGCAGCCAAAATGAGATCAAATTAAAGGGCTTACCCTAGATGTGCAATAACGTTTTATTTTTTCAAAGAGTTGTCACTTGACAAAAAAAAATATATTTCAAGTTAAAACAAATATTTGAATATTTGTGTCGATCGGAATCGTTTTGAAAAGGCTTTACTTTTACAATTTCTACAGTGTTGCCATCTGTTTATTTAAATTATACATGAATTAATGATTCTTAGAAAATAGTTAGCTTGATCAATTAGAATATTAAAGAGGGCTGCCACCTGCTTAAAAAGTGAGTCTTAATTTATTTAATGGTTAAAGAAATCACTAAAAGATGGGTCGCACTTAAGATGGGTTTGAAATTCAATCCAATAAAATCAAAAAGAATGTACATTTTTTAGCCTGAATGTGCTCTTAACATTATCACGTATTCTACGTTTAAGTTTAGCGGCTGTGGCTCCGGCAAAGCCCGTAGGTCAAGTTGAAGGCGCTGGCCTGATCCTTTTTATGTATATTTAGCCCCTCACACACATACTGTATAGTATATTTCCCTACTACTTCTGGAGTTTTTCGAGCATTTAAAAAAAAGAAAGTGTTTTCTAATGACAACATCAAGGCGGATCACAAATCGGAGGAGAAGCTCGGTCAAACACTAACATGTTGTTTAAGCGCTAATCTATTATTATCATGTACCGTTGCAGGGTGACAGTTTGGAAGATTATCTCCATATTCCCAGAGGATATGGCCTTTCCTTTTCCAAAGCCTCCCAGCAAAGTATAGTAGAGTTCGTTTGGCATCCTGCTATATTGTTTGACGAACTTCTTACAGCCGTGTCGTCGGATATGGACGCATGCCAGTCGTTGTAGCTTGGTGAACGATTGTTTTGTCGTGGTTAAAGTAGGTCTTGGTTATTATTGCTTGTACCATCCTATAGCTTTCTTTGCACTTTGAGTCTGCATCCCTAGGACTTGCCTATTGTCCCAGTATTAGTGCCCGTACAAGTTTCTCGTTTTCATTGTGTCCCAGTAAAATTGCCTGCTTAAAATTCCTGTGGAACCATTTAACCTTATGACTGCCTTTTTAATGAACATTCCTTACGCATAACTATTTTTAGAAACAGCCAACAATCCACTTTTAGGTAGGAGATGAAAGGTTAAAATGTACTGTAAAAAATGTCCTCGTTAAATTCTACTTTATGTAGACGTTTGAGGATAAATTATATTTTAAATCGTTTTATAACTAAAATATCATGTAGATAATATTTTCGATAAACTATTCGCTCTCTCACCCCGAATTTTAAAACTTAAACCCTCCGTGTATACTCTTTTATAATTATAGCGTTTGTTCATGTTGACTAACATTTTTGTAAAATCGGACTGTGTAATCATAATTATTTTATTGATTATTTCTTATTATAAGGACAAGGTAGCCACGTGAAATGTTTATGATTATTAACACCATTTAATAGTAATGATTACTTCTCGTAATTAAAATATAACAGCTTGCCCTAAATCTTTAAGTTATGTTTAAACTTTAGCCAAATGTTTTATGTGTCTGGTACAATAGCCACTAGCAGATAAAATATGTTCCTCTATTGGAAACATCGCGATTTTATTACTGATTCCATTTTTGGAAAGCTTTTGCAGTGTTAGTTCTATTCGGTCATAAAACGCGATAGTGCTAACAGCAGTTCCTCCAAACTCAAAATTGGTTTCATAACTTAGTTGAACTATTCGAAGTATCTAAACATACATGCAATTATTTAGTCTTTTAAACTGACCACTATCGGCATTTGATTGTTTCCATTTTCACACTTTTCTTAATTCTTGATTTGCACACTTTTATAGCTACATTTTTATTCTTATTTTACTACGAAAATAATTCGGCCACATGCCCTCCATCACATAACAAGACATGCAATGACAAACACATGCAAATTATTTCTATTACGCTGTCATTCTCGGCCGACAAGGCAGTAGTAGCCCTACATTATAGCATTCGCTGTCGTCCCGCGCCTGTCGCCTTCTTCCAGTTATATGTAAGCGAGGTGTAATGGGACAGTTTTAAGTCAATAAACCTCAATGACTTGGACACTATTTGATCTGTCGCATTTACAAATGTTTGTATGTATGTATGTACTATATGTACATATATGTAGCAGATACCAACAACCTTTTATTTGTGCTTGATATACACATACATACATACATATGTACACTAATACGTACTACACCTGTGATCAGCTAATTAAGCCGGCAACATTTTGATAAGTTTTGAAGTTTATTTAATATTTATAATTTTTCATAATAGAAATCCAAATTTCAAACTTAGTGTAAAAATTATAAAAAATCTGCAAAGTTTAAGCTAAATTTTCAACTTTTTAGGGCCCTTTTATAAAGTAACCTCTAACTTTAAAGCTCACTTTATATTTATGTATATACACTGCCGGAACAAAGCATTGGCACAGCAAATTTTTCACAATATATACAACAATTTTTATTCTAATATTTTTCCGCTAATTTTGTATAAAAATATGGTTCAGTCAACAAACAAAACATAAAAATATAATTCCTAACCTTTGTGCAAAACTCCCGAAAATTCAGCAAATTTTCATCAAAAATTTCAACTTTTTAATCAGATTTTTTATAATTTTTGGAGTATGCAGTTTTGCAGCCCATTAAATTCTAGTAAAAAAATGCAAGTTCGGAGTTAGTCAAAAATCGCGCTGATTTTTGAGATTTTTTTTTTGTTGAAGGTGTTTTGCATTTTCTCCATATAGTGTTTTCGAAAAAAATTTTTTTGATGTAAGAGACTGCGTGAAAAAATGACCAAAAACCAACAGTAATTCCTAGCTATTTAAAACTTGCACTCTATTATAATAAAATTGATTGGGCTACAAAGCTGCATACTCAAAAAAATTCTAAAAAATATGTTTAAAAAGTTGAAAATTTTCATGAAAATTTGCTGTGTGTGCAACATTTGTGTGACAACATTAAGGCGCACGCCACAAATCGGAGGAGAAGCTCGGCCAAACACTAACATATGAGTAAGCGCCAATCTATTATTATTATTAAAGAATCGCGCTGCTTTTTAATAATATGTTTTCTGAATGCATTACGCTCTTTTCCATCCAAAAAAAAAATAGTGGAATAAGTAAATTCTTAATCTGAATTAGAGATGGGCGCGGGATATCGGGACCCACGCTACTGATTTCTAAATGGCTGGGATGGGCGGTACCGGTAAGGTCTTTAAAAATTTTGCGGGCGGGATGGGATCAAAATCCTTTCCTGACACTCCCGATAA